ATTCACATCCAGTCTTGTCAGCAATATGCAACTGGAAAAGAACACATATAATCAATGTAGAGAACCCCCATAGGTGTGGCTTATCAAATGTGTTTTTCTTTTCTGCTGTTACTCTGTGGGTGTCTCCTCAGAAGTGGGATCTCAAGACCCTCTCAGTGATTATGTCCCCCCTTTTCGTTAAGCAGAAGTGTCTGCTAAGATTGACGTCAAACTAGGTCATGGCTGGAACTAGGCAAATTCCTCTCATCTGAACTTGAAGTATAGCTTATGAGCAGAGCACCTGCTCGACATCCTCAAGGCTCTGGGCTCAATTCCCAGCCCTGTGAACAAGTTTTAGAAATAAAAACTGAAAGTTAAAAAACAATAAAAAATTTAAAAGGAGAATGAAGAAAAACAAAAGAAAAAATTCAACACTAAGACAAAGGAAAAAAATTGAAACAAGAAAATAAACATCATAAAGAAAATAATAAAAGGGAGCAAGAAGGAAAAATATATGTAATAAAACATTAAAAAAATTTCTTCTAGCTGAGGTGCTCGTAAACATGAACTAGAGCAGATGATAACAGGCTATGCTGATTAAAGCTTCTCTCTGGGTCTTCATAGGTTGTGTGACCAGAAAGCAAGTTTTTCAGGGGAGGTTTTAGCCCCCAGTACTTTCAGCTGTGGCACCAGTCAGATGCTGGTCAGGAAGGCGTTTGGGCTACAGCTTGTTGAAATTCCTCTCAGCTGTATTTCATGCTGCAGTGAGTTAGGACAGAATGTGAGCTGTGCTTGGCATATATTCTCATCAGAACTTCGTGTGCTGCATGCACTACGGGTGACGCAAAGGCAGCAGTAGACATGGGTTCCCTGATGCCTCTCAGGACAGGGGCCAATTGAGCCACAAAGGTCTGGCGGGGGAGGGCTTCACGAACCACATTATCTGTGTCTCTCCACTCTGACACCTTCAGTCCTGGGTCCTGGATGAAACCATATGCAATTTGAGACACTCCCATCTCAGAGGGTAGATTCTTCCATCTTATGGTTCCAAAAGGTTGTGCCCTCTGCTCCCCTCTGAGTTGCATAAAATTCTCAGTGGGACTTCATCAGAGTCACCATCCAGAACCAAGACTATTTCCTGAGGCCACCACCATTCATACAGGCAATGGAGCACAATGCTGCTCTTGGGGTCCCAGAGTACCCAGTTCTGTGCCCCCTAGAGCAATACAAACTCAGATAACAGGACCCTTTTCAATGTGGTTCACTCTGGGAGATGAAATAAACTCCTCTAAAGCAGGCCTGCTATGCAGACTCCAGGTCTCTTATTTATTGTACTGTATATCTGTAAGAAAGATACTGGTTCTGTGCTTAGCTAAGAATCATTCTCTTTTATCTCTAACCCCTCAGAGGGGAGAATCCCTCTCCCCTAGGGCTGTGGCTTGGTCACAGTGCTGGGGCATTCTGTTTCCTGCTATGTTCCCATCCCAAATCTCTGGATTTCACCAAATCTTTGCCTCTGCTGTTGAAATTCCAGTATTTTCCACACCAACTCACCAACTTCCTTATGCAGTTGCTTTTTTTCTTGTCCCATGGAGAAGCAGGTGTTCTGCCTTCTTGCCTGCCTCTGAATGTCTTTAGCTAGAAAAACCTCTCTGATTTGCCATTGCCCCCACCATTCCTTATTTCTTTGTACTTCTATACCTTATTTATATTCTCTGATTTCTGCCTAACCCTTGAAAATACATTTGGGTTTATGAACCTGTCTATGATTTTTCGCTATCATTTAACAGCTAGATGAGCAAATACTTCAAATCAGCACTACAGAACCCTCTCACTTTAGGGGGAATTGTAAAAGTACCAGCAGGTTAGCAAATTTAGCAAGAGATGCTGAAAGTGTGAATGGTTACCTTAAAATGTCTGGGTTGGGACATTGCCCTAACTCCCTGATACTCTAAATCTTAGACTTCTTTACTGCTTGCTCTATTACCACTGTCAGAGTTCTAAGTGTGAAGACGAATAAGAAATCCCAACTATATTCTATAGGGTTGGGACTGTAGCTCAGTGTGCAGCATCTGCCTAGCATGTATGAGGCCTTGGGTTCAATCCCCAATCCCGTGGAAATCAAAAACACACGAGACCTACTCTGTAGTCTCTTCAGGGATCAGCAAAGTTTCATTCCTTTTTAAGTTTTTGGTCCCAGAGAAGGAGAGCAGTACTAAAGAAAGGAAGACAGTACTGCCATTGCTTGGGAACAGGAAGGAAAGACATAAGAGCACAGAAGCTGGGGATGTAGCTCAGCCATGCAGCATTTGCTTAGTATTAGCAAGACCCCGGATTCTAACTCAGCACAGAAAAAGAAATGCAGAGGATGCCGTACAAAAGTTAAGTTTTTGGTCCCAGAGAAGGAGAGCAGTACTAAAGAAAGGAAGACAGTACTGCCATTGCTTGGGAACAGGAAGGAAAGACATAAGAGCACAGAAGCTGGGGATGTAGCTCAGCCATGCAGCATTTGCTTAGTATTAGCAAGACCCCGGATTCTAACTCAGCACAGAAAAAGAAATGCAGAGGATGCCGTACAAAAGAGAACTTAAAGGTTTCTCTGCCTCTCCTGGTCATTGACTTAGAGTATCAACTTTGGAAGGAGCCCAGAGTAACTATCAGGCACAATTTCCTTACTCTACACAGAAGAAAAGGAAGCCAGAAGAGAAGTGACTTGCTCAAGGTCACAGAGTAAATGAGTGATTTGCTGAGCTGAAAAACTAAGATTTGTCTTAAATTTCACAAGCTCTTTTCACCCCAAATCATGCAAATAGTAGGCTGAGGCCAGAGGGCATATCAACCTGGCTGTCTCTTCCAACCTGTGCATCCTAGGATTGGAGTAATGGAGGGGCGTTCACTTATGAATTCATCCATTCATTCAAGAGTAAGCACCTACTATATGTCAGGCACTGAGCTTATCTTGAGAGACAAAAACAAAAACAAAAAAAAAAAAGCAAGAAAACAGGTCCACTGTGAGGCTGGGCACAGAGTACCTATTCAGGAACTCTCGTCAACTGCCTAGGGAAATACTGCCCTCAAAGAAAACAGATCTACTGTGCACATCATTTTCATTTTTTCTGGTAGTCTCATTTTAAAAGGTACAAACAAGCAGCTACATTAATCTTAATAATAAATTATATTTCTAAATCATTAGTTTATCTAAAACATCATTTCCACATCTAAAATTAAAAGTAATGATATGTTAAACACTTTTTGTCGCAGTTGTTTAAAGTCTCCAAAGCATTTTTCAATTACACCACACATCAGTTTAAACTAGCCACATGTGACTAATGACCCTCATACCGGTCATTGAAGGCCCAAGGTAAATGACAACGCTTGCTCCCAAACACTCAACTTTAACACTTGCCAGGCCAATCTATCTTCCCCTCTGAACAGTCTAGTGACTACAGCTTGGTCACACAATGTTGGTGTCTTGGTGTAGTTGGTGCTGCTATGACAGAACACCTGAGTTTGCGTAATTTGCAAAGAACAGAGATTTGTTCTCTCAGAGCTCTGAAGGCAAGGAATTCCAAGATCAAGGTATAGACAGGCTCAAGCCCAGTTTATCTGGGTTTCCAAGACAGTGCTTTGAATTTTGAATTAACGCTCATCAGGATGGGAGGAGTGCCATGTTTTTACGTGGCAGAAGAGCAAGAGGTTAAGTCCATGCCCACAAGCACTTTTATACTGGTATTAATCCATTTAGGGCTGCAGAGTCACCATGACATAAAGGCCCCACCTCCTAACATTGTTGCATTGGGGAATGAGTTTTGAACTCATGAATTTTGGGGGAAATATTCAGGACATAGCCTCTTGAAAATGAGGTGGAGTTGAGGGGAGAGAGGCATGTTTTAGAATATTGTAGAGCTTAGGCCTTCAAGGAGTTCACAATTTCAACTATCGACAACATGTTTTAGGCCTAGCAAGGACAGAATCCATAGCTGCACATATCTCTGTCATTACCAGTGTTAGAGGTTTCATGCCAATTACAGAGTAGAATAAGGAAATGAGTAGTGGTTCCACTGTCCTTGTTAGATAAGCCTAAGCAGCAACATGAAAACCCAGTTGAAGAAATTGCTTCTGATGCTCAAAATCAGTGTGAAATATAATTCATAAATAAACCCAAATCTTCAGTTTAGGTTGAAAAGGCCCGAGGAACACAAAATCAGCAGAAATAACAGTGGCATTCTTGGAGCTGAGAGTTTTCAAAACTGTCCATACATAGCCCAGGAGACCATTAAGGGTCTACTAATTTAATAATCTGGCTTCATCTCAAAACCTCAGTCTCCCCAGTGTGAAGACTGCCTTAGTTTTTGGCTTTCTTTTTCCTCAATCATTTCTATTTACAGATTATTTGCTGCCATTGTACAATGAGAAAGGATCTCAGCCTCTATCAGTTCTACTATGCAAGATCAAATATTGTTCACATAACCGCTGTGAGGCTGGATGACACAGAGCATCAGAGCCACCAAATGGTCAGCATTAGTTGCTACCTTCGTCCCTCCCTGTATGATAATCCTTAAGGAATCATGATTTGGGATTTTAGAATAAAAGGAGAAATTCCAAGTGTGCTCATGTTTTATTTTGTTTCCAGAAGACATACTATTAAAAGAAATCTTAGCTATGATTTAAATCCATTTCCATTCCTTAAAACTCACAAGGGGGAAGACTTGTTTAAGAACTTTTTGGAAGGTACTAGAACCAAAGGGTGTTCAGTGTCCTGTCTAGAGCTTCTTTTAGCATTCCCAACTAACTCTCGGTTTTGAGAAGGCCCATGTGTTTCAAGGTATCCCAGGCAGATAGCAACCTGAGGTCTTCATTCAGTGAATAGCTTGACCTCAACCTTACAACACCTCAAATCAAGATTTTTTTTACACTCACTTTTCCAGTCTGGAGGTACTTTTCTTGTGAGGAACTCCATGGGTGTAAAACATAACAAATTTCTTCTTACTCTTTTTATGTTTACTTTCAAGAAATATTACCCTCATTTTCCAGCTCTCCATTGGAGCCCCATTCCAATGAAACTACGCCCGCCATTTCTGCCTTACCTACCCTCCTTATCTTGAAAACTAGATGTAGGGTTTGGCAGTGACGAGTGCGCCCTCTGCTGACTGGATGTCTGCTCTGCAGTTATGTCCTCACCATTTGCACTTTTAGAGCCTTGGCTACCAGAGAGTACATTAAACAAAGCTTAGCCAGGCGTGGTGGCTCACACCTGTAACCCCAGAACTCCGGGGGCTGAGGCAGAAGGATCGCTGAGTTCGAGAGCAGCCTGGGCTAAATAGTGAGTTCCAGGTCATTCTCAACTACATAGTGAGACCCTGTCTCAAAAAATCAAAACCAAACCAAAACAAAACAAGCCCCAACAAACCAAAATCAAAACCAAACCAAACCAAAACAACAACAAAAACAAAGCTTTTGGCTTCTTTCTCTCTTATTAGCTACCAATTTTAGGGCAAATCAATCTTTCTGAGACCACTTATCAGATATTATAATGAGATGACTATCATTTAAAAATTTTCCAATTTCTGATTTTCTATCCATTTTGCCAGAAAAGGACATTTTTAGCATACACCACTCTCCCACCCTATACACAAAGTTAAAATGTATAAACAGTGCTTTCAAACATGGACTCAGTACAATAACAAGCTTTTAAAATAGAACTTAAAAGGAGCCCCTCTTCTGGGAGCATGAAAAGTAATTAGAAATACATTCCAACTCCTTCCTAGATCCCTAGCTCTCCTAGGGTGGGCTTTAGGAAGTGTCACTTTTCTCACACTCCTCCTTCTGCCCTCCCCCATCGGAGCTGCCTTGGGAGCTTCAGCCTTATTCTCTAGGCTTTTCAGCTGGAGGCCTCCCCTGGCCTTCCCAGCACTGCTTTCCACCAAAGCTTTTTCTTTCCCACTACCTTTCTTCACTGCCTGGATCAAGAGAGGCACCCCTGAGGTTATGTGCAACCCCACAGAAACAGCCCATGGCTCTGATACCTGGATGTGTTTGCCACCTTCTGAGAAGTGTAGATTTACCACTAAAGCACAAATACCAACCACAGACCTAGTTGGAAAGGGGCGAGATGGGGGTTGGAATCTCATGATTGTGTGCACATTCTCTTCAACTACCTGAGAGAGTTAGCAAACCCACAGTTCTGCCTGGGGTTCTGACTCAATTGTGGTTCACTTCCCCTCAAAGACTCAGGAGATAGAGGACGGGAAAGCTGTCCTTTAGAGGGAGACAGAAGAGACAGGAGACACCTCAGGGTAAGCCTGAGTTTGGGGCCAGAGAAGAAACACCAGAAACTATCAGACTGAGAAAGTGAAGGAAGTCCAGAGGATCTAGATGGAAGGAAGAAGGAAGAAGAGAGCAACTGCACACCCATCCAATTTCTTCTCCCAAATGGTTCTCCTTCTACCCCAAAGTTAAGACAGGCAGGGGCACCCAACCACTTTGCTACCAGGTATCAAATACAGCGGCCCTAGAGTCAAGCAGCATGTGGTCACCACTTCCGGATTTCCTAAGGGAGGGCAGAAAACCTGGTTGGAAAGCACGAAATCAGAAATCATGCTGCTAGTTGAAAGCACGGGCCCAGCTTGGGAAGCGGGGATGAATGGAGATATATTAGGAAATGGTTGATAAATTCCTGAATCCAATGACTGACACACATACTTTTATATTTACTTACAAGCTGAAAAAGATCATCAGGAAAAAGTTTAGCACTCTTGTTCTTGGCGAGAAAAACTTAGCCCCGGGCTGAAGAAAAGAGCGATTTGGTGTGAGGGTGTGGGTGGGAGTGGGCTTGGGTGCGTGGCTGATATGAAGCTGAGAACTGGTGGCTGCCACTTGTCCCCCAGAGGGGGTGGAACTTCACCCCAGCCCAGAGGCACTCCGGAACTACAGCAGAACCTCTAAAGGGGCGCCGCCTCCCCTCGCGGTGTGCTTTTGAACTTAGAGCTGTTGTTCCTCTGGTTGGCGTTTTCCTGCATTGGGCCCCAAGTGGCGAGGAGGGGGATGAGGATGGGTCGCCAGCGTGGGGGCCCTGGCAATGTGTGTCCCTGCCACGCCCCAAGTTACCGACTTGAAATTTGTTTTTCTTGGTGTTCTTGTTGTTTCCAATATGTAGAGGTAGGCTTGAACCGTGTCTGTGAAGCTGTGCCGGCCCAATCACATTTGAAGACTTGTCCCCGAAGCATCCCTGGGGAATTTCGGTTCCATTTTCTTCACGAGAACAAGCGAAGGGCGCCCGGCGCTACACAGTGAGATGTTCTCCCGACCTGCTTCTGCACCTGGGTTGGGCGCTGGTGTGGTTTATTTCTGTTACTGGGATCCCCACCAGTAAGACCTGCCCCCCTTCCCGTGGCATCCTCCAGCCTTGCGGGCGCCTGCGTGGTCCAAACCCCCCACCCCTACCCTCGCCGTGCTCCTCAGCCCTGACTACCTGTGGCTCCGGGTACCCGGAACCCAAGGCTGCTCGGGCGTAATGAGTGCGTGGTACTGCGCTCTCTGTTGATTTAATACAAGCGCACGGCGAATGCTGAAAAATAAATAGAAGGACGGAGCATACGACTCTCCTTAGAGAAAAGTCTTTTCGAATAAATAAAAAGAGGCTGAGTTTTCACTGTTGAATGTAAATTCCTTCGAAGTGGAACTAATCATTTCAAGGATAGTTCACGTTGTCCTAACAACGCGGGTGAATGGCAAGGGCCCTTCTTTTTGTTAAAGATATGTTTTCTTTCTTTCAGTCAAAACTGATGATGATACCCCTTTCACGCTCTGTCCTCCGGGATCGTAAATCTCCTCTCCGAGCTCCCCAAATCGAACGTTCTGAAGCCAACCCCCCGCGGGTGGCCGCTTCTCAGGAGGGGCCGAGCACCAGCTCCCCGAAAGCCGCCCCCTCCCGAGGGTCCCCAGCCCTCCCGGGACCTACTTCCGGGTCGTAGGGGGCGCTGCGGCAAGGGCGACTGGACCGCCTGAACCCGGGATGCGGCCCGGCCAGGGACGGGAAAGTCCTGGAGCGCACAGGTTGTTCAAACTAAGCCAGATACCGTGAGCCCCGGCTCCCTCTAAGGGCCCCGTCAGTGTTCTCTCCGCAGCAGGAATATGAGTGATAACTGTTCACAAAAGCAACTTGCTCCTCACGCGTGCCTACCAGCAGCTGGTGCCCACTAACTGGGGGAGAAAGGGTCATCCCGAAGTAATCCTGCTCAGCCAAGACGTTCCAATCCCAACTTTTCTCTCCCAGCGGGCCCCCCTTCAACTGTCGCGAAGACCCCAGCGGCCCAGGCTCCTCCTGCCCCGACGTTCGGTGTCCCGATGCCCGCCAAAGCCCACGGGCGGGCTGGGACTCGCGAGCCTGGAAAGTGTACTTGGGACGTAGGAGGGAGAAAGTTGGTTCCATTTCACCTGCTCCGGGCCTGGAGATGGGGAGGGGGCTGCAGACGTCCTCGAGGTCCCGCTTGCCTTCTAGAAACCTTAAGCTTGCGGCAAGCTGGGTTCCCCAGTGCCAGGGCTAGGCGAGCCAGCCCCCCCACCCCCAACCCTTCTGCGTCTCGAAAGGCGGGGGACAGGGGACAACGACTGTGGTGGGCCCTGAGCAGCGGCCAGGCTGGGCCTGAGCTGGACCGCTCCAGACAGGAGCGCGACGAGCCAAGCTTCCCTGAAAGGAGCAGACCGGGCATCTGGCGCCCAGCCTAGTTCCGGGACCCGGCAGGATTCCGGGGGCCCGGATCCGACTGGCTTCATTCACTTTCCCGGCCCTCTGGGCGGAGCACTGAGTGCTGCCCAGTCAGAGGGTCGAAGAGGAAAGCAAGGGGCTTGCCTATCAGCCTTCCTTCGCGTTGCATCTCGCCTCTCCCTGACTGAACGTGCCCACGGTCCGGCTCCGGCGCTGATGATTTGCATCCGCCTAGGTTTTAGCTCTGAATCGCGCCTGAGAGTGAAACTAGATGGTGCGCGGCGGGTGGTCTCTTATGAATTGTACTGAGTAGGTGCAGTCTTCCCGGGAGGGAGGAGGGGGTAGGGAAGGCCATCCCTTGCCACCCCACCCCAGGCTGGCGGTCCTGGCAGCTTCCGACATCGGGGCAGAATCAGCTGTGGCTTCGCTGTGACCTTCGAGCACTTTGGGACCCAATTTGAAGGCCCCTGGCACCTGGGGGGGGCAGCTCGTGGAAAGCTCATCAGCTGGGCAAGTCTGAGCAACTTGGAGTGGGACCTTAGCTTAGCTCGGGCTCGGAGTACTCAGAGGAGCTCTCCTTCCTTTTAAGCAAAACGAAACGCAATTTCCAAACTCGAGCTACAGACTGCGAGCTTCCAATTAGGAGGTGCAGGCTGGGCCCGGCCGCCAGTTCTATTCCCCCCCCCGTGCCTCCCACACGAAGTTACCCTGGAGGAGTATTTAGAGGGCCTTGGGACAAATTGAGGCTAGTTTTGTGGGATTCTTCCTCCCCTTCCAGAAGAGCTAAGGGCGGTAGAGCATTGCTGGTACTTTGCAATGTCTGTATCCGTTAAGGAGGAGCAATAGTAACCTTCCACCCCTGTCTTGGGGAAAAGGAGCTACTGACTATGGAGTACAGGTTCTATAGTACACAGTACGTCTTCAAAAACTTCGTATTCCTTCTCTGCACCTTGCGACCCGGGGCCCTTAATTCGCAGACTTGGCTGGCCAGAAAGCTTGAAAAGCAAAACCTGCCATGAGTGACGAAGGTGGCTTTATTGTCCGGATTTTTGTTTGTACCTTAGGTTGGAGCCCCACACCCCCAAATCCTTGGCTCGCCAAGTGCTAGCTACAGCAGCTCTGCCCCCATCCCCCAGCTGCTGCGTGGGGGCCAGGACTCTGGGGACAGCCCTCAGGGTCCTTCCTTTCCTCCAATGCTCCCAGCCTTCGACCTTAAGGCTAGAGAAAGAGGTTTTGAGGCCATCGTGGAGCCCTCGTGCATTGGGGAAGCGAGAGCCGGGCAGCCCTCGAACTGGGGCCAGTCCCTGAACTGCGTGCGTCAGGCTGCTGGGACCCGGCTGGGGATTGGGAGCGGCTGCTGGCGCTGAAT